TTTTTTTTTTTGGAAAGTGGTGGGAAATAAAATTGGATAAGCAGGGTTGGTATAGCTTTTGTAGGACTTTGAAAGCCAGGCAGAGAACTGTGTTGACTTCCATAGTAGGACATTAGAAAAAAGCTGCAGATTCTTGAAAGAAGGTGGATTGTGGAAGAGGATTCTGGAGTGAGGGAGGTGGCTAGGAAGCTGTTGCAAGAATTAAGGCATGTGGTAATGGATGATGTGAAGGGGCAAATGTGAGATTTAATGAAGGGGATATAAAATCTCAGAAAGGGAACATTTGACCTTAGAGTCTCTACCCTAGGAGACCAAGGATAATTGGGAAGAGGAACTGGTTGATAAAAGATAACGTGTTCAGTACTAGGAAAACTGGAGCTTAAGGGATGACAAAAATAGTAAAGCAGAGCTGGAATTTGAGCTGGACAAAGATAATTTGGGAGTTCAGCTCCAAGGGAGTGGGGATGACCTGAGGAGGAAGAGACAAAAATAAGACAGAGGAGCAGTCAGAAGAGTAGAAAAATACATAAAGGAATCTTTGTTTCATGGAAGTAAAGTCTAGGTCTACTACTTACTAGCTGTTACTTAATATCTCTCTGCTGCAGTCTCTTTATCATAAGAATTGGGATAATAATAGTTCCCAACTCAGTGGGTTGTCAAGAGGACTAGATGGGTTAACACACATAAACACTTATGGTAGGAGCTTTGTCAATGTCAGCAAAAGGAGGCAAGAATCTCTGATGTCTCATTCTATTGCAGTCTCATCCTCATTTTTCCCACTTTCTGTTTTCTAGCTCTCAGTGCCTAGAATAATGCTTAGCACATTATGGCTCTCAATAAATGTCTGATGAATAAACAAAAGAGGATGAAGAATCAGAAAAGGTCAATGGAGTAGGCAACTGCCGAGCTCTGTTTTAAGAGTTGGCTTGAGTAGAAATAAGATTGCAGAAAATAGTATAAATAAGTACAGACTACATATCAGTGACTGTTTGGCAGGAAAAGAAAAATGAGCTTATGGTAACTTAAAAAGGAAACAGAGGCAAGGAAGAGTTAAGCCCAAATAAGGAATGTTTAGATATTGATGATTATTACTTATGTTTAACTCTCCTAGTGCAGACACTGAATTTACATCATCCCCTTGTGTTTTTTATTTTCTCGGTTATAAAATGCAACAATTCATCTGGCTTGTCTTTAGTAATATTACACCATAGGAAACAATTGTTTTAAAATAACAATAAATTGGTTTTGGATAGTTTTCTTAATGGCCGAATGAGAGTAAAATGCTTAAACTGTCATGGAAACAATTGTGTTGAGGTACTTGCATTTATTAATAATGTTCTTATGGTTAATGGTTTACTATACTTTAAACCTTACCACTTTTAATAATCTATTATATAGCTACAATATTTGAGTTAAACTATAACCTCCTTAAGCTTTTTGGTATTTGCTTACTGCACAGCCTTTTTGTTTAATTAAGTTTACACTTTTACTTTATTTCCAATGGATATAGTACTGGGCTTCCTTTTATACAATTCACTGAGACTAGGGTAGCTCTGATGACTGAGCAGAGATAGAAGTGAGCAGGGCAAACACTGCAGCTTGATGGTGACAATCAGGCATATCATTAGGGTCTCAAATGGCCATAGCAATAGCTGCTTGAGGCACTGAAAAGTTAGCTCATTATCAGGCAAATGGCCTTGTGGTCCACATGCTGAAGATCGCTGCTGCTTGCACTAACCAGGGTTGTATATTGAGCTAGGCATACATAAAAGAAACACATTAAGCCAATATTTTTTCCTCTGGGACTTGCGATAATTCAGAATGAGAAAGTAGAAATTAGCTCCAACTAAGAGTGTAAATATCCACTTGGCCATTCATTGGGCTGGGATAACAAGAAGAAACACCAGCTGCAAAGGTAACAGGAAATAATAATTCTCCCAAGGATATGCTGCAGCTGTAAAGTATAACAACCACCCCTCTTTTGAGTGTCTACTTTCTAATTCACTGAAAAATTTTGTCCTCTAAAATCATACACTATTAGGAAACTTGCTGTTGAAATTATATCAGTAAGAATGAAACACCCCACTCTTGCTGGGAGGATTGAAGTCACTTTGACGCAAAGAAGCAGCCTCAATTTCCAACCTAGGTGCAAAGCCTTCATTTAAGCGGCTCCTGAATACCACAGTCCACATCTATAGTAACTTTGTAGTTTCCAAGAAACAGGATCCTGAGACTATTCTGCAGTCCAGACCTGATGTTGACCTCTTTACTCACAGCCCTGCTTTGAATCTGTCAAAACACTGCTTCCTTTAAATTTCACCTAAGTCCATCCTTCCCCCAGATTCTATAACTCAATCTTTTCCTTTGTTTCCTAAGACATCCCACGGTTCCTCTGGTGTGCATTTTCCCTCACTGAAATGGGTCAATAGTTCTGACTCTATCTGACTATAGGTTTGTCCCTGGCGGTCTTGGGCTGATCAGGTTAGTACAAGAGGCATCAAAATCTAGTCAAGGTTCATGCCAATGGAGTAGAAAGTCTTTGTGAGCAATGAAAATTTATACGAAAAGTAGGGTTCAGCAGCATGATATGTTTGTTATGTGAACCAGAAACGCCACAAAAATGGCCCAACAGAATTTTACCCACCACCCTAATCGTGCTTAGTTTGTGTGTGTGTGTGTGTGTGTGTGTATAATACTGTTCTCCACCAGAAGGAACCATAGTTCCTTTAGGTGTAGTCGATTCCTCTACCTCGGACAGGGAAAAATCAAGATTGGCCTGGAACCTCTTGCTGTTGCCAGAAATCAAAAATGCTTCAAAAATCTTGGGCAAAATTAAAGAAAGAAGTAGGCTTACAAGGCCCATACTGGGACAATTTGAGCATCAAAAGGAGAATAATTATAGTTCATTGAAGTAAGTTGAGACTATAATGATACTCCAAAATGGGAAGAAATAAATTAACTGTACAAAGTAGTAGTTGTAAAACAAAAGAAGGAATGTATGATAGAATATATTTTTTTTAACTTTTTTTTTTTATTGATGTTTTAATGGTTTCTAACATTGTGAAATTTTGGGTTGTACATTTTTGTTTGTCACCATATATATATGTCTCCCTTCACCCCTTGTGCCCCCCCCCCATCCCCACTGCCCCTGGTAACCACAGTCCAGTTTTCTCTGTCCATGTGTTGGTTTATATTCCACATATGAGTGAGATCATACAGTGTTTGTCTTTCTCTTTCTGGCTTATTTCACTTAACATACTACGCTCCAGGCCCATCCATGTTGTTGCAAATGGGACGATTTTGTCTTTTTTGATGGCTGAGTAGTATTCCATTGTATATATATACCACATTTTCTTAATCCAGTCGTCAGTCGAGGGACACTTATGTTGCTTCCACTTCTTGGCTATGGTGAATAATGCTGCAATGAACATAGGGGTGCATAAGCCTCTTTGGATTGTTGATTTCAGGTTCGTTGGATAGATTCCCAGTAGTGGGATGGCTGGATCATAGGGGATCTCTATTTTTAATTCTCTGAGGAATCTCCATACCGTTTTCCATAGAGGCTGCACCAATTTGCATTCCCACCAGCTGTGTATGAGGGTTCCTGTTTCTCCACATCCTCTCCAACATTTGTTGTTTTTTGTCTTGGTGATTATAGCCATTCTAACGGGCGTGAGGTGGTATCTTAGTGTTGTTTTGATTTGCATTTCCCTGATGATTAGTGATGTTGAGCATCTTTTCATGTGCCTATTGGCCATCTGTATATCTTCCTTGGAGAAGTGTCTGTTCATTGTGATAGAATATTTTTAATTTTTAAAATTAATTTCAAGTACACATATGCATTTTTTGTTTAAGTGTATGTATAAGAGCATACACAGTAGGGAACTGAATAATTCCCCAAGTGGGAACTGTGCCAATTACAGGAAGAGATGATTGGCACCAGTGAGCACCATACATACAACCAGGTAGAGGGAAGGTCCAACACTGTTCCAAAATGAGATTAATCAAACATCTAACTCTACAAAGTCAATTGTGGTCTCCTAGGAACCTCTCCTAATATTAATGTGATGCTAATAAGGCATGCAAAATTTTCCAATAATGTTAATAGACTAGATATATCTATATGTATATCTAATGATAAGACAATGGTATATAACATTAACCACCCAAAACTCTAAAAGTCTTTTTGGGGAAAGATCATGCTGTAGAAGATGTGGGCTGCTGGGCATCTCAGAATCTTGTACCCCTGTACCTGTAAAGGCTGAGTTACCTTTATAGTATTTTTAACCAATCCACATATCTTGAAAGCCATTCATTTTGCCAATGAATTATTTCTAACATCGTTTTTGCTAATTAATATCCTCTAGTGAAATTGGAGATCAGAGCGGTTGAAGTAAATGCCTGTTGACACGTCTAATATTTTTGAAGTTTTTTTGTTGTGCGAAGATCATGTAGTTAGAATGTCTGGCTAGGTAAATATAATCAATGACAGGGCTGACAATTAAGGACACAGGCACAAGACTTCTGAACAATATGTAATATAAATTATATTAAGTTTAAATAAGAGGTAAAGTAATGGAAGATAATGAGCGAGATGGAAGTTACAAAAGTTGCCGAAAGTAGTTTCTGTTACTTTAAGAGCTCTGGGAGCTTCTACAACAGCTTTGACAGGCATGAATCACTGTCTAACCCCAAATCCTTATTTGCCGCCAAATCACCTCAGTGTGGACTACGATTCCCAGAAGGCAAAGCTCCCTCCCTTGACTTGGCTTCCTCAGCCGGCCGGGAGGTGTAGTTTACAGAACAACGCCTTCTAATCGAGTTTTGCGCACTTGTGTGCAAGGACTCGGCCGTAAAGGCCTCTCCTCCATCCGGGTCTTCCCATTTTGGGGAGTAGCTGGGATTCCCGAGCCTAATTTTTGTGCTTGGCTGGGCGGCAGGCCGGCGGCCGGCAAGGCGCTCTAGGCCAAGCGGTTTCGTCTCTATGACCGCGGGAGGCGGGCCCTGGTGTCCGGCGCGGGGCGCGCGGAGGGGGCGCGCGTCAGTTCCGCGCGGGGCTGTCGGGGGACGATGGCTGCCGCAAGAGGTGAGGCCGGGGCCGCCGGGACGGGGGAGCCCGCGGGGGGCAGTGGCCGGCTAGCGTCAGCGCTTGTCCGCGCCTGTCGGCGGCCGAGCCCCCTCCGCGCCCACGGGGCCCCGGGGCCAGGCTGAGGCGTCGGGCTGCAGGAGTTGGTGTGGAGCCGCCGCCGGTCAGGGAGCGGGGGGCAGCTGCTCTCCCACTGCGGCTGTCTTCCCCGAGGCCGGCTCCGCGCGGGGCAGGTCGGCGGCCCGAGACCGCCTGCCTCCGGGTGCTGGCGGTGGGTGGGAACCGAATCCCGACAGGCCCGGGCTGCGGCGGACCGGAGAGGGGCCGGGGCGCAGGTCCCGGGCTGGACCCGCATCGCGCCGCGGGAGGCAGAGCGTTCTCGGTCCCGGCCGGGTCCCCGCCCTCGGCCTCCGCTGCGCCTCCTGCCCTGGGGATGCTCCGGGGGCAGAGCCTGAGCAGCGGCTGGTCCCTGTAACAGCCGCTAAAGACCTCGCGGGGCAGTTAAACAGCACTGACCCCGTAACGGGACGGAGAAAGCAGTCGTTATAACAGAGTGCCTCCCAGGGGAATGTTGTCTGTAGTTAGAAGGAACGCTTTCATATTTTGGGTGGAGGGTGAGCTACATCCTCCTTCCCCCAGGGATGGCACATTAGAGTAATAATGTTTGATGACTAATTGCCGTTTCGTGAGAGTGAGTCTGAATAACTCCGCAGCACTTTTGTTTTGCTGGGTGGACTAAGTTAGGACCAGAGCTGCATTTCTGGACCGTAGAGGCGTAGCTAGGAGAGGCTGGGCCACAACCGGATTCTTTACCTGCCCTCTCCCATGGAGCTCTTGGCTTCACCTCTGAATAAATGTTGAACAAATATTTAAAGAATATCTTTTTGCATGGGTGCTGAGTTATTTTCTTGGTTAGAGAGCCCACGTTTATCCTTCAAGCCCTGCCCAGGGGCCTTGTCTGCAGCTGCGTCTGCTTCTCTTATGCATTCTCCCATTTCAAGTAAGTCCAACCTTAAGAGTCGTTTTGTAGCAACGCAGGAAGTACAGGAAAAAAATAGAATTGTTTTGATAACTAACATAGAATGGGGACCAGCAAGATTAATGATGAGCAGAACTACATAAGTCAAATCATTATCTGAAATAGTTGCAACAATTTAGGTTTAGGCTTGTTGCCAATACATAGTTGCTGTGCTTTAGTCATGTTATAAATCTTATATGCCCGCTGGAAATGTATTATACGAACAAAACTGCAGTTTCCATAGCTTCCCCATATTCCCAAAGGATTTATTTATCTGGGACCTCCTGAATTTCCGGGTTCTCAGGTGTTACAAATAGTGTCCCTGTTGGGGTGGGGAAAATCCCCTTTCTTCCCTTCTTGTGGTCTTATGGTTGGACTAATAATAAAATTGATACAAGACCAGATTAACAGGAGAAAAACCCAGTTTGATAAGTACAGATGAGAGATCATACAGAAATGCTCAGAGAGTGAACAAAGCAGGCAGCATATATATCTTTTACACAAAGAAACAATAAATTTGTGAAGAGTGACAGAACAAAGAAACTTAGATGTGAGGTATGTAATTAGTGAAGAATTTAAGCGGAGTTTAGGCTTGAGGTAGTAAATTAGCAAGGTTTGTTTATGCTGGCTTCTTGCCTGAATTCCCTAGCTCTGGCAGTAAGGATGTAGAGAGAGCACTTTTCACGTGGCAGATTTATTTCCTGCATTCAGGGGAAACAGGAGGGTCAGAATGCCCTTTGTGCTTCTCAAGTAACTTTAATTCAAAATAATCAATATGCTATTATGGGATATTTTGGGGTGGCCTGCTCTAGGCCCCAACATCTCCTCTAAAATACAGTAAAATATAACTGAAAAAAATACATAGCTTCAGACTGTAAATTTCTTTTGGGGGGCATTTTCTACACAGAAATAATTCGTGGGAGCTAATGAGAACTTTGTGAGAAGCAGAAAACAATGCAGAAGAGCCAGTTCAACAGTGCAGTTGAGTTGAGGGCTGGGTTTACAGTTACTGGCCCCAGGCATGATTGAATACTCAGCAAAATTTACAGTGATTACGTGTCATGAACTTTTGCTATTACCCTGAAAAGATCGAAATTGCTAATAAGTGAAGTTTCTTTACTAGAGAATTGGTGAATACAGTGAAGAAGAAATATTTTGATCTAATGTTAAGACTGAAATTAGAGAAAATAATACTTAAAAGCATTAAGTATTTTTTAAAAGTTTATATGTTTTTTAAGTGGTATTCCATACCAAGCCCTGTATGTTTTACAGATATCCAAACTTATTTGATTACTCTTCCATTTAGATCAGTAGTTACGTTCAAGAATATAATATATATGCCCATAGAATCACTATGCAAGTAGTTATACTTTCAAAGTTGACGACAATAACAATTATAGGTCAGAGTATGTTTGTAGGCTATAAATATTTGCTTTAGTGTTAAATATTCAGTATGTTGTTTTTGGAATCAGGAATCTAAAAAATAGCTAAAATGAAGTAGTTTTAGTTTGGCAGTGTTGCCTCTCTTATTTATGAAAGTGTTGATAACCTGGGACATGGGTTGGCAAACTTTTTCTGTAAAGGGCTGGATGGTCTCTATCATAACTACTCAACTGTGCTGTTGCAGGGCAGAAAGTAGCCATAGACAATTAGGAAACAAATGAGCATGGCTGTGTTCCAATAAAACTTTATTTATGGACACTGAAATTTGAATTTCATATAATTTTCATGTGTCACAAAAGGTTATTTGGTTATTGAAAACCTTTTTTTCCCCAACCACTTAAAAATGTAAAACTATTCTGAGCTTGCAGGCCATATAAAAAACGAACCGTGAGCTATAGTTTGCTTACCCCTTATCTAGAAGATGGGAAGTGCTTCTCCTGTCCAGTAAAGTTGTTATTGCTGTTTATTTTTGAAGACATACATTTTTTTCCTTGTGTAGGAAAGTTTTAAAACAAAGGAAGTACTGTAGTGGTCTCCTTCACTTCCTTTTACATCAACATTGCTTTTTGGCTCCTCAGACCTTTTGGAAAGAAAGTTTAGGCAGATAGAAGCTCTATTTCTTCTGTTATACCATATTACTTTTTAGTTGAAACCTGATATAATTTTTAAAATTTGCCTACAATTTACAAATAATTCTTTAATTCACCCAGGGGAAAATATTTGTGTCTATTTTCTTTTAAGAAGAACCACCTATTTTCTTGTAAGTTCCTACCTTACCATATCTAAAGATAATCTCTTTGAAACTCCTATTTTATTTCCCTATAAAAGTCATCTTTGAATTGTGGTTAGGCTCCCAAAGCAGTGAAAAGAGGCATGCTTAACGCATTAACACAGTTACAGTAGCAGTCCAGAGTCACCCTGTGTCCCTCCGATTCTTAACTTGAGTTGTCAAAGTATGGCCTGCTGTCCAAATCCAGTCTGTCACTTGTTTCTGTACGGCCCAGAGCTAAAAATGGTTTTTACAGATGGACATTTTCGATTGATTTGATGGAACACTAACTTGGAAGACCAAGAAGTGAAATGTTACCCCCCCAAAAATTCCATTCTTCTCAATAGTAGACATATATTATAAAGCATTGTACTCAGTTATTATTATATTTTCAATTTGTCAAAAAAATTGTGAAACTTTCTTTTCTCTCTTGTTACCTAAATACCTATATGATATCCTTGATTTTGCCTTCTGGTCTGAAAAGCCTAAAATATTTACTGTTAGCCCTTTACAGAAAAAATTTGCTGATTCCTATTTAACCTGAGCCTGAAGATTTGAAAGAAGGTTAAGGAGTGCTGGGGGATGAGAGGTGGGAGGTGGGTAAAGAAAGTAGAAATCATCTGAGCCTTGGGTGATGGCAGTGGCAGAGCAGGGCTGGGAGGACAGAAGTATGAGGGAGACCTGTACCCTGGTGCTCGCGGTTTTATTGAAAGTGCTGGGCCGGCCCTGCCTGTGATGACTGCTGCTCAGATATACTTGCCAGCAGTTCTTAAATTGAGTGTCTATAAGTTGTATGTATTTCCTACATTTCAAGTTTTAGAGAGCTTCATTCTTAATACTCTTTTGTGTTATGAAATATTTTCTGTATAATGCTATGAAATGAGAGGCCAGATGATTTGTTTTTTATTATGATAAAGTTCTATATTAAGCCTCACTTTTATCACTCAATTACTCCTTTTGTTTTCTTTCTGCTGTCTTTAAATTTAGAATGTATATTGCTGTAATTGGGTTCATCCTGCTTTTGTGCTTTGCTTTCATAAGTTTGAATTATAAGGAAATATAAAATATGTAATTTATAACATCCCAAACTAGAGTCAGTATGCCACATAATCTTGCCATTGAGGCATTCCCCAGGAACAAAATCTGTCCCTAACCAGTGGATATTTAAAGTCACTTATATTTTGTATATGTATGTTTGTTTGTGTTCATGTAATTGGAAAGTATTGTTTTGAAATAAATTTTTAAATATTATGGAATTTAAAATATTTTGTGCTTGAAATTGGAAAGCATTTTGAAGTATAACATTGATTAACTTTTATATACATAATATTGTCTACTAAATAATATCTTTGTTACACATATTTTCCAGAAAATGTCAGTTTATTATTCAAGTTATACTGCTTGACAGTGATGACCCTGGTGGCTGCAACTTATACCATAGCTTTAAGATACACAAGGACATCAGACAAAGAACTCTACTTTTCATCCACAGCCGTGTGTATCACAGAAGTTATAAAGTTATTGCTAAGTGTGGGAATTTTAGCTAAGTGAGTATAAATACTTTTTAGTGTATTAAGTTATTATTTTTCCACTTAGTTAAGGTATTTTCTTTATTGGAAAGTTCGAGCTGCATCTTTATATGTTTGATTGCTCTATAGCGGTGTTTCTCAACTCTGGGCGATTTTACACACTAGGAGATACTTTTGGTTGTTCCAACTTGGAGGATGCCATTGGCATCCAGTGGGTAGAGGCCAAGGATGCTGCTAAACATCCTACAGTGTACAAGACAGCCTTCCACAATGAAGAATTCTCCAGCCCCAAATGTCAGTAGTGCTGAGATTGAAGAACCCTGCTCTAAAGCAGAGGTTGGCAAATTATGGCTCATGGGCCAAATCCAGCTTGTGCCTGTTTGTTTGAAGCAGAGACTGTACAGCTCACAGAGCCTAAACTATTTACCATTTGGCCTTTACAGAACAAATTTGCTGGCCTCTGTTCTAGAGGGATATAATGATAATAGTTAACATTTCTTGAGTGTTTCCGGTGTTAAGTGGTAGCACTGTGCTAAGTGCTTTTCACTAATTATCTCATTTCATCTTCATTCATTTTTTAGGTAAGTACTATAATTACTCTTATTTTACATAGTATCTGAGGTTCTTCAGTATTACCCTCTGAACATGTGGTAGCACTGGGCTTTGCAACATCATATGGGAATTGTTTTAGCTCAGGATGGAGTATGAGAGGGGGTTCAGACGAGGGCCTTTGGAGTGACACAGACCTAATTTTAATCCTAGACTCACTTTAATTATGACTCTGCACACATTTCTTAACCTCTCTAAGCTTTAGTTTCTTCATTTTTTAATTGGAGGAAATAATATAGGGGTGTGAAAATTAAGTAAAATCCTGTAAGAAATTACTTGGGGAAAGATTTAATGAGATGGGGACCCATCTGGGTTGTGTGGACAGGTGAGAATTCATACAGGTTTCAAGATGTGAGTTGGTGAGAGTGGGGAACCAGTGAGGACTAGCATGTGTGTAGGCTTTTAGGTAGAAACAAATTATACCTAAACACTTTTAAACTTCATTTAACAAATATTTATTAAGTGATTTCTATGTGACAGTTTTATAATAGGTGCTGGATATACAGGTATGAATGAAATCCTGCTTGCTTGCAACTTAGATTTAGTGGAAGAGACAGAAAATAAACCAGTAAACACACACATGATTACAAATAATCATGTGAAAAAAAATACTCTAAAAATGGTTTGAGGAGGGAAAAAAGAACAGAAAAATAACTTGAGGCTAGATGGTGGAAAGCTTTAATATATTTGAGTTTAAAATTTACGTTGTAGGCTGAGATACTATGGCAGCCTATCTTGTTAGGTTGCAAGTAGGGTAAAATCTCAGGCCTTTCACAGTTTCTTACTTAAGATTCATTTTTATGGAAATTTGGCTTTCTTTAGGGGATTCTTCATTCTGGATAATGTCAGATAAATGAGATGCTTTAAAAGGCAATGTTCCAAAGGCAACAATGTCTCTGTTTAAAACCCCAGAACAACTTCCATGTAACAACCTTAGTTAATAAATTAATAACATTTAAGGCTTAGCTACCTTTTTTTTTAAAATAATTATTTATTTATTTATTTCCCCAAAGCCCCAGTAGATTGTTGTATGTCATAGCTGCACATTCTTCTAGTTGCTGTATGTGGGACGCGGCCTCAGCATGGCCGGAGAAGCAGTCCGTCGGTGCGCGCCCGGGATCCGAACCCGGGCCGCCAGCAGCAGAGCGCGCGCACTTAACTGCTAAGCCACGGGGCCGGCCCAAGGCTTAGCTGCTTTTAAGACAGATATAGGGGTACTGGAAGAAGAGGGACAGGGAAACACATTTCTTCTCCTTATTCCCTGACGTCCATAAGGAGAACAGATTGTGACTCAGGAATGAAATAGGACTGTCAAGCATGAAATCACTTATTTTAAACTGTAAGATCAAATCATGGTTCAGTTGTTTTGTAACCATTAAGAATTTTTAAAAACCAATGTGCAAAAAACAGTCAGCCCTTTGGTGTAACTCACAGTTGGGCTTATGTTCTGCCAAGCCACCTGCATAGACTTGTTTTATTTCAATGCTTTTCCAGCTTTGCATTGCTTGGTGTATAGTATTTATTATTCTTCAGCTGTTCATTATTATGGGTATGGTCAGTTGTAGTTTGTTTTGTGGAAACTTTTTTGGAAATTACATCAATTAAAAGCAGAAAAATATCTAAAAATTCACCAGACAAGTCAAATAATGGTGTTGAAATAACAACAGTGCGGAAAACCAAATACTGTACTTCATCAACATCATCATCGTCATCACTAAGTAGTTGCTGTGTCTGTCACCAGCATAGTGTAGAGGCTCACAAAAAGGGCTATTTTGTGAGCATTTACCTGCAGAGTACACAAGGACCAGGGATAATAAGGAAAAGGTAAAGAATTATGATGTACTCAGTTTTGGTGGTTGGCATTTGATATTATATGGCTAACAAGAATTTGGCTGTGAAGAAGAATCATTTAAAACACAAAGAGGGCCAGCCCTAGTGGCCTAGTGGTTAAGTTCAGCGCTTTCCACTTTGGTGGCCTAGGTTCGGTTCCTGGGCGTGGACCTACACTACTTGTCTCAGTAGCCATGCTGTGGTGGCGGCTCACATACAAAAAGAGGAAGATTGGCAACAAATGTTAGCTCAGGGCAATTCTTCCTCAGCAAATAAAATAAATAAAATACAAAGAGTTTCTAAGTGGAAAAAGCACTGGAAAAAAAATGTACAAAACATGAAAGAAGTGAAATGCATTTGAAACTACTGGATTTTAAAGTGAATATAATTTTCATGGAGAAATATGTTGGCAAATTATCATGTGCTTATTCAAAACACATTGGCAGAAACCGCATACCTGCTATTCATAACAAGAAAATATTTTATTTCTCGGAACAAAGGGTTTACATTTAGAGGGCATCTGTGAAAATGTTAATTTCTTGGAATGGTAAAAGAGTGAAGGATAAAGGAGATTTCAACCTATGAGGTAATACATATATATATATAAAATATATGTAACAATATAGCCAGAAACCACAGAACTAATATAAAGAGGAACACAATAATAGGTACAGTATGTTTAAGAAATAACAAGAGTCAGTCTGCTCTGAGGCAGCATCCTAGAATTTTATGTTACAGCTGTATTAAGCAGGCTAGGGGAAGCATAACTTCAATCAAGAGCCCAAACTGGGCAAATTAGAATCTTCATCTTCCAAGAATTTAAGCAGAGGCAGTTGTAGCTCCAGGGATAGTTCATGGTGACCTTTGGAGATCTGAAGTCGAGTCACTCATCTCTTGTGTGAGAACTTCGAGCCTGGAAAGGGACTAATTAATGTAATCTCTGTCTAATGAATCTGACCTGACCAAATGGTTCAGCAAGGTTCCAGACCCATGTGTGTTTTTTTTTTTTTTTTTTGCTGGGAAAGAGTTGCCCTGAGCTAACATCTGTTGCCAATCTTCCTCTTTTTTTTTTTTTCCCCTCCCCAGAGCCCCAGTACATAGTTGTATATTCTAGTTATAGGTCCTTCTAGTTCTTCTATGTGAGCCGCCACAGCATGGCTACTGACAGACGAGTGGTGTGGTTCCACGCCCAGGAACTGAACCCTGGGGCCACCGAAGTGGAGTGCATCAAACTTTAACCACTAGGCCATCAGGGCTGGCTCCAGACCCCCGTTTTAAATGAAAGGCCAGTCTCTGTCAGGATTTGAGGTGGCAGGGAATTTCTATACCTAGGGAATCCTATTTGGACAGAAACCATGATGGCAATCTAGGTAAAATGGCTGAGACCCCCTTCCCTGGGGTAGGAGTATGGGTTGCATCCCCCGAGGCATGGGTTTGTTAGTATGGAAAAAGCTTTGTAGGCTGAAGGGTATATCGCTGGCTTGCTAAAACACTGGAAGGCAATAGCTTAATTTTAATCCCAGATTTTTTTCTTTGCCCTACTTATTTATATTTTAAAAAGAACTAATTAAAAAATTATACATGGAATCCACTTGAAATTTTTCTCCCTGATGTGTTTAGGATATTTAACTTCTTAGAAGACACAGACTTGCTTCACTGAGGAGTGCCTAATATATATTGGGGCAACAAAAATCATGGATTTCATTTACATTTCTTCAGAAAAAAGTAAAAACAGGGGGGCTGGCCCGGTGGTGCAGCGTTGAAGTGTGTGTACTCCGCTTTGGCAGCCCGGGGTTCGAAGGTTCGGATCCCAGGCGTGCACCAATGCACCGCTTGTCAAGCCACGCTGTGGTGGTGTCCCATATAAAGTAGAGAAAGATGGGCATGGAGGTTAGCCCAGGGCCAATCTTCCTCAGCAAAAAAGAGGAGGATTGGCATCGGATGTTAGCTCAGGGCTGGTCTTCCTCACAAAAAAAAAGAAAAAAGGAAAAACATCTTTCAGGTTGTGGTAAAAGAACAGAAGGCAGAGAAATGCGTACCTTGATGTGGTCTCCAAGGAAACCGGGCAATAAATATGAGGAAAATACTTAAAATATATTATTGCCATAATATATAAAGTTATGTTAAAATTGCCTTAGAAAAACCAAACGATAATGCCTTTTTTGGGGACTATTGTGAAATACGAATTTTTGAAAACCTAATGAGCAGATATCTAACTTCTTTTCTTTAGAAAGCAAGTAACCACACTTCAGAATACCAATTGTTAATCACTGTCAAAATGTGTTATGTAAAGCACCAAACATACTCTTTTAAGATTGCAGCAACTAAATTGGCTGCCTTCAGACATTCAGGATTGTTGCTATTGAGAATGGCAGGCTGCCAGAGAGTGATGGTATTAAGGAAACATTGTTTCCCGTCTCCCCTTAGAAACAGGTAAGGGAAACATGCAGGTAAATACAGCTAATTTTCATTTCATTCTCATACCTCTGTTTTAGCCATAGGTATCATCTCATCTTCTGTGATGAGAAATCTTAGGCTGAGGGAAGTTTTAATTTGCCAAAGGTACCTAGAAAGTGACT